AGGTCTTGTTTAGGTTTTATGTCTGTCTTTGAATTTTGACTTTTAAAGTGATTTTATTCATTTTTAGTTTAGTCGAACTGATGATGGAGCTGGACTCCGAAACGTTTTCAATATCGATATGGTGAATTTTCTTGGCGTTTTCTTTGCTTTTAGATTCACATAACCAATATAAAGTTGCAGATGGAAAAATTTTTATCAAAAGACTAATTTGGAAAATGACGGTTTATAAATTATCTGATGAGTATAAGATTAAATTATATCGTCAAATAAAAAATAAAATAAAAATATCGTCAAAAGTTCGGAAACTGAAAGACCTCGTTATGTTAGTTTAGCTTTCCAAACTAGTAGAGATAATTCGCAACTTTCTAACAATGCACTGTTTGATCATTGTGATATAAAGAATGCATATATCCAGCTAAATAACGAAAGGAATCCTGAGCAAAACCTACAAATTGATTTTGATAGTAACAAGTATGCGGTAGTTTATAAAATGATGGTAGATTATGCATCATAGACAAATTGTGCAGTTGCACACAGAGATTATAGGTTTTTACATCCGATTGTCGTACTTGATATCAGGCGGCAAAATAAACATCTTACGGACAGTCTTATTAATATGAAGATTTAAGCTGAATTCAGTAATAACATTCCTGATAATACACATGCTTATGCTCTGAATCTTTCAGACAGAATAATAATTCAATTAGAATCTGATAATGAAAAAAATGAATATAAATTACTAAAAAAATTAAAAATTATTTCGGATTTATATCTCACTGAAATGATGTATTGCGTAAAATGTCAAAAATACTGATAGTGAGCATGCTCAGTATGTTATGACGCAAAATAATAAAATATTGAAGTACGGACGTTGCTTGATTTGTAAGAAAATTAAAACTTCTTTTGTATCAACAAAAGAAGCAAAAGGAGGTTTCATCTTTTCAACTCCTGCTATCCCAGGAGCTCTAGGCGCTGCTGGGTCTCTGGCAGGAGGAGCTTCTGCCATAGCTAGTGCAGTCAATAAGAAGAAAGCTGATGATAAACTTATAGCAGAAACGAAACGACATAATGAAGCAATGGAAGCTAAAAGGGGATCCGGTTTAACATTGATTCCAGCGAAAATAAAAATCTTCACCGAAAAAAATCTTGTGGGGTTATCTAATTGAATCCACCAAGAAAATAATACCCATTAAAGCATTAACACAACATGATTTGAAACATTGTTTGGGAGTATTGAAAGTTCCTAGAGTCAGAGATATTTTCATGACGGATACACTGCCTTGGTCACCTTTTAAAACGGAGCGAGTAATTTTGAACCTGGATGTTAAAGAGATCACTGGAACACATTGATCTTGTTGGTATAAGGAAAATGATACATGTTAATACTTTGATAGTTATGGTTTGATATGACCTAACGAGTTTAAAACGTACAGGAATAAATGCAAGATTTTTGGTCCGCCTATAAAATTCAAAAACGTGGTAAAATGGGTGATGCAATTTGAGGACATTTATGCTTAGAAATGTTTGAAGTATCTTTGAACTCTGAATTGAAGTATCTCCCTTAGAGTGTCTAAAAACTTTAATCGAAACTCTTCGAAATGAACATTCCACTTCCAATTTAACTATTACAAACCTGAGAGACTTACGACTTGAGTTTTATAATACTGATTTATGTTTGAAATGTTTAGAGTCTGCACTTGAAGATAAATATAAAATTTATGAGTCCAAGATCGATTATTTTGAAGAAAAACTAATTAAACAATTTGATGAGAAAATGTGTAGTTGGCAGTCAGCTTCCGATGACAAAGGCAAGAAGTTAGAATTGCATGTTGAAGAAAAACTATTCAAACGGGAGGCTGTTCCACATGTCGGTGATTCGAAGCGGGAAGAAATGTTGGCGCGTGGAGAAGTTGCAACGCAGTTTTTTTAGCTTATGGTCGTGGCCCCTGGTTTCAGTTCTCGTTTCAAATTCTAATAATCCTACTGGGACCTTGTATGAACAATGAATATACTTGCATACTTCAATGACGTCCCCACGCAGACGTCGATAAAAGAATATTGGAAGCTTTATAATCTTTAATCTTTATTAATAGGACTTAACCTTCAAGCCTGGAATTATCTTTGTTGCACGTCTTTGAACACTCTCTTTTAAATTTTTGTCATTTCCAAGTCTCGGTGACCACAAGCGGCGTTTTCAAACTCTAGGCACGACTGCAACAAACTGCTTCATTGCTTCTGCATCTAGGAACTCGTAAGAGAGTCTGATCACCCAAGAAGTTTGTTGGATTTATTAGCTTCCGTTTCAACTTGCTTAGAAGATTTCAGCTCTTTGTCGATAATGTCGACATAAATTCCCAAATCATTTTCACACCAGAATTTTCAATCATTACTCTCTCGTTGCAACCATGTCTTCTCATACTGTAATCTTGCTGTTCAATGTTCTTCCCGAATCCCGAGGGGTACTTTACACTTGTCAGCATTAAACCGCAGCTGCCACTTATCAACCCAGTTAACTAAACTGTCAAGAACATATTGCAATTGCGCTTTATTTGACGCATCCTTTACTTTCTTATAAAGTTTTGTGTCGTCGGTATACATAGAGCACACGCTGTATACTACTTCTGGCAGATTGTTTATAAAAACAACGAACAAAACAGATAACTAATGAAATATGTTAATTTATTCTAAATGTATATAACGTAGGACACACATTTGTCGAAACGTTGCAACTTTTATACTGCTCATTTCTGCCATCTGGCCGGTCTCTTGTACAGTTGCGCTTTTCATATGATTGGGGCTGTTCCTACGAACAACAGCTATTTCCACACAAGTGGGTTTACGATTGTTCTTTCATGCCATCCTTGTCGGTAAAGCCTTTTCTAGTTATGCGCTTGTCCGTTCAAAGGTCTAGTAGCCCACTCCACGTCTGATCGTCTTTGACACCTCCAAATTGCCATAGAAGAATTTCGAATTTTAGACTTAACATGCAAGCAACGAACCTTCTCAAACTTAGGAAAGAATTGTCCCTAATGCCCGCTGAACCTCGAAAGTTCACGCAGAAACATTCACTTTTCGCTTCCGACTTTTTATTATTCGAATTTCTTTAATTTGCAGATCCATGGGCGGAACAGCTAGTGCAGTGGTCGATGCCGAAAATGCGAGTGGCCAATGGTTGACAGAGAGTGCAATCAACGACCATATTTTCGTTTGTGAACGCCCAACAGGTGAAGTGTGTGATGTTTTAATCACGTCATTCAAACATGAATGATGAAACGTACACGTTTCACCATACTGCAAATAATTTGTTACCAGAAAATTTCACTTTATCCAGTAGGATTTTGATAAAGCAAGCATAAAGCAGCATAAATGAATTCTTACAACACTCAAATACCGATAACAGAATGAAATCAATTTTTATCGTGAATAATATTTAGCTTGTATTGCATAAATTGGCTGTGAGGAGAGTATATTTAATTTGAAACATAGCAATAATCAGACGTGCTTCCTTTAACAACAATTAAGGCTCAACCCCGCCGATTTCCTCGACGAAAAAAATCTACTTTGTTTTTTGTTTGTTTGAAGGCCTGACGAGAAAATTTATGTTCGATTTTTTTGCCATATATAAACTTCAAATGAGCCGATCAACGTTCAATTTCAACGAGAGACAAGGTCAATTACGTACAACAATGAGGCGCTCTCCATTTTAATCCTATTTTTTTCAATCCACTTTATGTTAATCTTTCAACCCTTACTTTAGATAATTTAATTTTTTACCTCCATGCATGAACTGCAAACTAGGCACTGAAACTTAGCATCGCCTCTTTTGGAACATATGCTCTCAATTCTTTCATTTCAATTAAAATATTTTCTTCACAAAGTCACATGCTGCCTCAAATGACGATTGAGTGGAATTTTTCCATCTTTATTAGTTTTGATTCATTCAATTTTGATACATTCATTAGCTCATCAATCACTTAAATTTCAGATTTTATTTTCAATCAAACTTGTTGGGAAGATTTTTCAAAGCCGAAGGGCAAATCCCCTATGTATGGAGAATTTCCTATCATTGGTTTATCAATTATATGGTAAATAAGTTTTTATTCATAAAACAAACATTGCAAATGGTTTAGTTTTATAAATATTTCTCTTACTTAAAATCACATTATACATTCTTCAATTCAAAGTCGTCCAGATAACTTATCTTGAATTTTTGATATTTTTGCTACATCATTCTTGTTCAGAACTTAACCTCTGTCAGTATCCACACTTATCATTTATGTCTCTGGTATCATTCGTATTAACTTTGCCATTTCAGTATTCATTTTTGGTCTAAAATACTGGCAACACCATCATCTATAGTAAACTCTTATAATGCAACTTGAGTGTCCTTATATTTTTAAATTCTTCAATAATGTTTCTATTTCCCTATTTCGATTATTTAACCAGAAGATTATTATTTATTATTTATCCTTTCCAATTTTGCTACTGACATTTAAAGAGCACTCACTTAATTCTTACCTGTACATAATTTGTTATGAAGAGTTTCCCATTTTAGTCCACTTCCGTCATTTACTGCTCACTTACAAATAATTATTTTATCACTGATAATCAATGGCACTCAATATGCTGTGTGATTCAAATTTTCAAAACGAAAATTATCATCCCGCATCTACATTATATCATAAATTTCGTATGGAAAGTTCATACGAAACCAGTCATAGTTTATTAAAGACTTCTGTCTTTCCAGCATACACCGAAATGAATAATTATAATGATGTTTTTAAAGTTATAAGTTTTAACAATCACCACTCCAGAGTCCAGCTCATGTAACCTCTAATTGAGCTGAAACAGCAGATTTTGAAGCTATAATGACGATTGCATGGGTGATTTGAACTCCGTCCTGTTTGTAGTTTGTACTGGACAGCAAACTGAGGATGCTCAACTCTTACTATGGGGAAGTCCACAAAAAATTTTCTATTACGTCATTTGTAATGGTTTGATGCAATTAAAATATTTACTTGGTTTTGCTTGCACTTAAGTTCAATCCGTTGAGATGAGCATCATTATAGTCTATACCAAAACTTGATAAAGTCATATCTCATATCTATCTTATTTATTATATTAGTTAACAATGCTGATTCACTCTGAAGTCCTACTCAGAAAAAGTGTTTTTTTTTTCTTCTGATGAAGCCGAGATGAAAATCATGCGTGGATTTTGCTAAAATTTGATATACGAGTTCCTTCGTAAATCGATTTATCAAAATTCAATTCACTAGGCCACGTGAGGCCATTAGGTAAATATAATATATTGAATCACTCAAAATTTGATTTATTAGCTTATTTCGTCGATTTTTATCCCTTTAACCAGGTTAATTTCCACTCTATTTATGATTATGATGTTCATTTTTAAGTAATTTCTCTCATCATTCTCCATCCTGCTCATCACCTATAGATGCCTTTCAGTAATTCGTTTGGAGTTTAATGTCCGTTTTACTCTACTTATTCACATTGTGTGTAAATTTTGTAAGCAGATTTCTTCCACGAACTCAGAATATATTTAGTTGAATGGAAGTATTTTGAGCTATAAGTAGCATCTAAACAATTAGCATTTGAACAAAAATAATGATCAATTATGTAGCATGTCTTGAATTAGTCCTACTCTTGGCGAACCTGGCTGGGGTTCAAAGGGGTGTTGAAGGAAATTTTACGGCTATCGGCGGTCACGAACGAACAATTAACCGCCCGGTTAAGTGGTCAAGAGTTTAAAATTTGTTGAAGTTAAATTAGTCAGAAAACTGTGATGGAATACTTAAGGAAGTTGTCGCAAAAGCGTCGTCTTGATTGAGTCACCAGAAGAATACACTACTAATGTTTCCAATTTAATTAGATTAAAATAAGCTGATTATCCTGCTGATAACTGTGTAAATAGGCCTAAGGTTCCAAAACTGCGTTGGTGTGAAGGTAACAAACATGAAATATTGACTAACTGAGACGGAGAGTTATCTGGATTGATAAGTTTCCAGGTTAGGTGAGTTGATGAGTGGGTTCATCGGCATGGTCATTTATTGAATGTGGCAAACAGAGTGAATAAATTTTATAAGGGTTGAAGTTTAAACATTAATTGGGTTAAATGTCAGCCTACTCTATGGTCCTGGTAAGCGAGTTAGTTCCAGTCTCACTGAGCGGTGTACCCCTAACTGTACTGGTGCGCTCATGACAAATATTTACAGTTCCCAGCTCTAATACGTAAACAAACTTTCGAAAATGACAAGATTTCGATTCAAGGGGTCGCAAATCAAATTAAATTTTACTTCTTTAATTTTGGCCGCTTTATGCAATGTCTGCTGCATGGCGATTGGATTTAATTTAAACGCAAGACCTCATAATAAATTGCGTCCATAAATTCTGGTCTAAGACGCCTGCAAAAGAAAATGATGGTTTCCATGATACAAAAGAAGGTTAGGAAAAACAGAAAAACAGACGCATTAGCAAATAACTTGACATTAAAATAACTAGACATTCCAACTGAAAACATTTCCTAATATATAATTATACCTAGTGGGTTACAGCTTCTCATTTGGATACGATAGCCTGGTAACCGACACAACATTCTTCCTCTTCTCGTGGTCAGGAGCCTGCGTTGCGGGCTGGGAGGAGTTTGGAGATTCTTGTTATTACTTCAACCGCCTCGACGTGGACGTCGTCACGTGGCTGACGGCCCACGAGCTCTGCCAGGGAATCGGCACGCACCTCCTCGTCGTGGATTCCCAGGAGGAAGATGCTTTTATTCGCGGCAAAATATCTGAAGGAGAACAATTGTGGATTGGATTGTACTGTGAGTAAGCCTGGGCATTTCGCCCCCCTGCTTTGTTCCGTAGAAGTGCCACAAATGCCTTCGTATCTAAGTTATAATGTCGTTTTTTCTTACTAGACAGAGTGGCGCTTCATATATTGGAGCTTAAATTAAGGTAAAGATTTAATGTCACTTATTTGCTTAAATCGCAAGCTGACTAAAAATTTAAAAGCAAAGAATAGACCACAAAAATTCATATCTTTATAGAAAACGTTTCGGAGTCCAGCTCCATCGTCAGTTCGTAGAATTTAGAATATACATAGAAAGTCACAAGTTAATACAATTGAAAGCACAGAACACAATTAGAACCTAAATTTACAAGTAATAGGGCATAAAAACCTATCTATTCACAATTTCAAGGGGATAGGAGCTCACAGCTGAATTTAAGGGGACCTGCTACCTAAAATTTTCAATTTTGGCGTTTTTCGGTTTTTGTGCTCACCTGAAAGCTGGAATTCTGCTCTTTCCAATGGTTTCACTGCCATCGCTGTACGCCAATATTTACGCTCATGACGTCTCTTTAAAGGGAAGCCGGTGGGAGAGTTCTTTAAGTAATTAGATATAAAGTAATTAGCTGCTGAAATCTTTGAATATAGTTTCTACTTGAGGTGTATTAGATATAAAGTAATTAGCTGCTGAAATCTTTGAATATAGTTTCTACTTGAGGTGTGCTACAGTTACATGCTTAGTCTCATCTTAAAGCTGACATTCTGAGCTTTCCAGCGATACTACTGCGATCCATGTACGGCAATATTGACGCAGATGGCCGGGCTTTAATGGGGGGCGGGGGGTGGAGTTCCTTCACTAAATAGACCTTAGAAAATTAAAGCGGCAAGACTACATATCTTGGTGTATCTGGCATCTGAGCTCAGTTACCCTCCTAACATTGTACGTAGAGGTGCGCTACAAGTTGCTGCTAGCATCCTTGAGTGGATTAAGCTACAGAAGCCTGTAGTTTGGTATCCATGCTACATTGAGTGCCTATTTCGAGGTGCACGGGACTTTGTCGCGCCGTCCTGAAAAGTTCAACTTATTGTCACGGAAAACCTATCTCCTCCTACAGTTTTCAAGCTACAGCAATGAGAGTTATATCATTCGATTCGTAAAGACCATATCTATCGACCTATCCATCGCTTTTTTTGAATTTGTGCATGGTTCGTCTTATATATGGGGGAGAAGGGGGGGAGGGGGTAAAAAAAGTGAAAAAATGAGAAAAACGCGCATAAAAAAAACTATGGGGAAAATGAAAAAAGTGATGGTATAGTTGATAGGTATGGTCTTTACGAATCTAATGATATGTGTCTCTATATTGTCGGACGATATTTGTGGGGGGAGATTTTCTATAGTACCCGTTATTTGTCCGTTTTCTATGAATATCACGTTTTCTATCAATTTTTTCGAAAAATTCATAGAAGTAAAATGTTATTATTTTTACATTTTACGTATGTATGTGCAGTTTCATGATGATCGGATGATAACTGTAGGAGTTATAGGCTACCTCCAATTTAGGGTAGCAGGTCCTCTTAAACTGGGCCTAAGCTTAAAAATGTACAATGATTCTAAGATACGCAAATCTGAAGTACCGGAGGTAGAAGCTAACACCCTTAAGTCACTGTCAGAAACAGGCACATCACACTGCTCTGCGTGAGTGCGCACAGCCGAATGAGGGGGGCGCGATAGCAACTGTCCCGTCCGACAACTCCTGCCCTTATGCTCAGCGATCCTGGAATAAAGATTGCGTGAAGTCATCCCGACGTACGCAGATGCACATTGTGCACAACGAAATTGATAAACAAGGGACGATCGCATATGAACAGGGAGCATATCTTTATATCTAAAGAAAGAACCGATTTTGAAACTGTTGAACTGATTCGGGGTCGAAGCGTATTTTTCTTCGCAGATAACCTGTATTATTTTTAGCCTTGCTTGAAAGAATTATGTAAATATGTAAATTCGTCAAATCAATATGTATGTGTATATGTAAAGTCGTCACAAGCGTCTGTTATTTAGACGAAAATTTTCGACTTGGAAAGCTAATGCAACATATTTTTGTGCAACTGTGCAAATACTCAATGTGCGGTTATTTTTAATTATTTACCTCCCGAGTAGCCTACAGTATTTTCTTGCCTATAAGCAACACTACTGAAGGTTTACTGAGTAAGAACTTTGACAAGTATGAAATAGAAACAAAATCAACTCGGCGAATCTACGAAAATCTACGAAGAACACCCATGCCACTACTTACGCAACCACCCACCTACACACAGACAAATAGCGCAAACCCCACACAGATACTACACCAACATACTAAAATCAGTACCCCAACCCAAGGCAACACCAGCACAAAAAACACTTACACACAATTATGACACTTAGAACGCTGGAGCTGGCCGGCAACAACAAAGTCCTTGGACAAAACACTTACACACAATTATGACACTTAGAACGCTGGAGCTGGCCGGCAACAACAAAGTCCTTGGACACCCACCGCTACCAGACACCCACCCACCAGATAACACAACGACATAACCTCGGCCCTACAGCTCTGGAGCGACCCCCTGTCGGTGGTGTCGTACCTGCGCGAGGGGGTCTCTTATAAAAATGAGACCGGGGAACCACAACAGCAAGGAAAATGATTGATTTGAAAACAAATGCAATACACTTGTGTTTTATAAGTGTAAATTTTATACAATAATATAAGAAATAGCGCTTTTCACATTTTAGTTGAGCAAAACAACACCGCGTTCAAGTGGGTGGATGGTTCGTTGTACTCCAACAACATCACTCACATGTCGCAACAAGATGAGGATGACGTCATCGCTCAGGGTGAATCCAAGTGCGTCGCAGCTCAAATCGATAGTGAGTTATGAGCAAGCTTGGAGAACTCGTTACTTAACTTATCGAATTCACTCCAACCGAATAAATTTACGAAACTAAAATCTGATTTATGTCTACTCATGAGGCTATTTTTCAATTTCCCTTGGAAAAGTAGCGTAAAATCGTTTAGCAAACATAATTGCAAATATTTTCCTGACTTTGTGCAGTAACCTGTCATTATGATAAAATATGCAACATGAAATTTAACATTTGCATCTATTAAGACAATAATTTGCTAATTAGCCTCTACGGAAGTTAATGAGGAGTCCTGGGACCCGTTGACATGCACAGAGACTCACAACTACATTTGTGAAGTTGCTGCCGGGACGCCGGTCTACATCTACGTCCCTCCTCGTAAGTATCACACAAAAGAAGTAGTCCCAAATGTCAATGAGTTATAGTTAACGAATCACCATGTAGTAAAATACTGTTTAATGAGCACTGACTTAGCCCATGTTCCATGAAAACTGACAAATTTCAAGTGCTCTAGAAGCTTGTAACAACAACAACTGTTCGTTATCTACCGGAATATACTCGTGGAGCATATTATCAATCGTCTCTTGTTTATGCCTTACTTGGTGTACTAAGTACAGGTTTCAAAATTATGTTCGATTGGGCTTCAAAGGATACACTTGATTCAAATGCGATATATTTTGTAGTTTTCATTCATACAAGTTGCATATTCGCTTGGAGTGAAGAAATACTTTGGGGCTCACTAGTTGGAATTATACTATCATGATTCAAGAGGATGTGTGGTTTATACCACTAAAAATTATAGTCATAAAGCTTTGCAATAGAATGATCAAAAAGTTTTCACAAGCTAGATGCTTTAAAATTTCATGAAGCAACAGGGTAAATTTGTTATTGTCGTCTGTAGTGCGATTGACAACTTACGAGTTAGCGACACACAGTATTTCTCAGTTAATTTATCTTGGGCCAATGTATTATGGGTGCAGTTAATCTTCACTGTTTTCTTTCCTGTGTAGTGGAACAGTACTGCCCAGATGGCTGGGATCTGGATCAAGACTTTTGCTACCTTGTATCTAGCAATGAGATGACGTGGAGCTCCGCTGAATCTTTCTGCCAGACTGCGGGAGGACATCTTGCTTCAATTAATTCTTGGATAGAGCAAGACACCGTCCACAGTGAGTACATATGTAAAATATTTTATTAAAGTTTTGCGCTTTTTTTGCATACTATAAGTCTTTTGAAGCGATTGTGATTGACACGATTTCGTTCCATTGCACTGTTAATAATTCTACCTGTACATTGATTGGATTATTTAAGCAAAACTGGTTTCCCGTTATATTTTCCTTTCATTAACTCAACAGATCATCTGGGCGACACCAGCTGGATTGGCCTGAATGATCGTCGTGTTGATGGAGTGTTTGAATGGTCCGACGGAAATGCTGTCGTCATTCAAAACTGGAACATGGGTACTTACTTAAGTGATAACTGAGATTAATAGACACAATCAATTATGTTAAATGCTACACTGACTGTTAATTTGATTTGGAGTCGCGCGAATAATTGAGTTGTCGATACACTGAGAAGCTGCATGTGCATATTAATTTAGGCAACATGCTTTGACTTGTGAAACAGAAACGACTACATAAATAAAATAGACTATGTCGGTGTATGTTCTGACATGGTCTGTGCTATGTAATAATATAAATGGTTCATTATTCAGGAGATCCATCCGGCGGAGATGAAAATTGTGTGGAAATGAAAATTGAGGAAGGATTTTGGAACGACATGACGTGCTCAGAAGCTCAACCGTTTGTGTGTAAACGTGGCTACTCGACGACTCCCCTCGGTCCGGTCACTACCACCACTCCAGCTCCAGACTCTGGCTCGTGTGGAGAAGGGTGGGAGGAAGACTCGACCTCTGGCATCTGTTACATGTTCGTGAATGAACTTCTAGCGCAGGCTGATGCTAGGCTGCGCTGTCAGGAAATGCCCTACAGCGAAGGCCAGTCCGTCCCAGACCTTACTTCTCTGTCCAATGAAGACGAGCAGCTCTTCGTTGAAGGTGAGTAAAATTGTAATTGTTTTCCTCACCGGTGAGGAAGATCTATAAATTTATTAAATTTTTGTTTTGCGTACCCTGTATTTGGCAAAATACTGCAGAGATTTTTATTTGTACTTGTAACGAATGAAAAAACGGAATCCGAACGGAATTGTTCGGAATGAAAACTCGTAGACGATTTTAATGTTTTCTGAAAACAAGGAATTGACAACTTCGACACGAAATTGAGACTATTCGAAATTATAATTAATATAGAGAAAATAATCGAGGTGAACAAACACAAAAATGATCATAACGTAAGTAAATAACAGCGTACCAAATTGCTGAAAAATTTAGGGCGAGTTCTGGTTAGAGATAAAGTTTGCCTAAGCTCGTCGACTCAGGTCCTTTAACTGAAAGGTCCAATTCTTATGTGCGCGGGAGAAGTATGCTATTTAAAAAATTCGTTACAGTACTTAAAATTCAGCCGTAGTGTGGTATGGAAAACTACTTTTTTAAAGGTTCGCTTTCTGACTATGATTTTTTATGTGGACACTTGCCAAACGAATCTCCTTCAAAAAATGATCTAAATAAACAATTTATAGAGTTGCCGCAAGCAAACAAGTTTCCGCAAACGTAAATTTAGGCGCATTTTTTCGTGCTTAATTTTCGTAGGTTAACCTGAATCACTGAGCTAATAACATAACATAACATAGTGATCTCGGCGCTGAAGTGTGGGCCTGATGAGGCCTGTCGCCGATTCTTATACTTTTCCTTTTCGTGCCTTGTTCACAGAAGATCTAAAATCGTGTCATTTGACTGGATCTTTTCATGACAGCCGATAGTTTGAAGTAGCTACTAGACTTCCACCGGGTTCGATATGGTGCTAGGCATTTCAAATCTGAACATATGCTTTTTCCATAGCTTTATCTAGTCTGTTCTTGAACGCGTACATACTTGGAGCGCCAACGATGTCATCGGGGAGGCTGTTCCACATGTCGGTGATTCGAAGCGAGAAGAAATTTTGTCGCGTGGAGAAGTTGCAGCGCAGTTTTTTTAGTTTATAGCCGTGGCCCCTGGTGTTGGTTCTTGTTTCAATTCCTAGTAATACTTCGGGGACCTTGTATAAACCATGAGTATACTTGTATACTTCAATGAGGTCCCCACGCAGACGTCGATAACTGAGGCTTGGAATCTTCATAATCTTAAATCTTTCTTCATAGGACTTGTCCTTCAAGCCTGGAATTATCCTTGTTGCACGTCTTTGAACATTCTCTATTAAATTTCTGTCCTTTTCAAATCTCGGTGACCACACAACGTTTCCAAACTCTATATTCGGGCGCACGACAGCAACAAACAACTGCTTCATCGCTTATGCATCTAGGAACTCGTATGAGCGTCTGATTTGTCCAAGAAGTTTGTTGGATGTGTTAGCTTGCGTTTCAACATACTTAGAAAATTTCAGCTCCTTGTCGACATAAACTCCGAGATCTTTTTCCACACTAGACTTTTCAATCATTACTCTTTCGTTGCAACCATGTCTTCTCATAATGTAATCTTGCTGTTCATTGTTCTTCCCGAGGTGAAGTACTTAAGGGGGAGGTCTCACCTAAAATTTTCGGATTTGGCTTTTCTGGTATTTAGTATCGTCTTAAAGCTGACATTCTGCCCTATCCAATGATATCACTGCGATCGCTGTACGTGAATTTATACGTTCATGATGGCTCTTTAAAGGGGGGCGGGTGGGGGAACTCCTTCACTAATTAGATATAAGGTAATTAGCTGCTAAGCATTTTAAATATAGTTTCTACTTGAGTTGTGCTGCAGTTACATGCTTAGTCTCATCTTAAAGCTGACATTCTGAGCTTTTCAACGATACTACTGCGATCGCTGTAAGTGAATTTTTACGCACACGGCTGCGCTTTAAAGGGGGGCAGGGGGTGGATTTCCTTCACAAAATAGGTGGCAGGTAATTCACTCGCTAAGACTGCATATATTGGTGTATCAAGCCTTAGTCACCCTGTTCGCTTCGTACGGAGAGGTGTGCTGCAAGTCACTGCTAGCATCCCTGAGTAGAATTAGGCTACAGAAGCCTGTAGTTTGGTCTCTATGCTACATTGAGTGACTATTTCAAGGCGCACTGAACTTTGTCGCGCCTACCTGAAATGTTCAACTTTTTGTGACGGAAAAGCCTACTGCTCCTAGTTTTGAAGCTACAGCAATGAGACATATACCATTCTATTCGTAAAGACCATACCTATCGATTAACGAAGCCCTATTTTAGATTTGTGCATAGTTTGGATTCAAAATGGGGGGGGGGGGGGGGGAAATGAGAAAAACGGAAAAAAAATTAAATGCGTGTAAAAAAAACTAAGGCAAAAATCAAAAATCGGGCTTCGTTAATCGATTGGTATGGTCTTTACAAATGGAATGGTATATGTCTCATTGCTGTAGCTTTAAAACTCTAGGAGGAGTAGGCTTTTCCGTAGTACCCCTTTTTCTGTTTTCTATGAATTTCACGTTTTCTATGCATTTTTTCGAAAAATCACACAAACAAAATGTGATTCTTTTGCGGTTTTACATATATGTGTGAAATTTCATTAAGATCCGGTCGTAAACAAAAAAGTTTTTTCGGAGGGTATACCTCCCCCTTACACTTGTCAGCATTAAACCGCAGCTGCCACGTATCAGCCCAGTTAACTAAACTGAAACTGTCAAGATCATCTTGTAATTGCGCTTTATTTGACGCATCCTTCACTGTATTATAAACTTTTGTGTCGTCGGCATACATGGAGCACACGCTGGACACTGCTTCTGGCAAATCGTTTATAAAAGCAACGAGCAAAATAGACCCAAAAACGCTTCATTGCGGCACGCCACTGCGCACTGATGCCCAGTCTGACACGGTTCCGTTAATACTGACACGTTGTCGTCTACCTACTAGAAAGTCTCTGATCCATTGGAGTACGTTTCCCTCAATTCCCAAAGACTTCACTTTACGCAACAGCCGCTCATGCGGAACTCTGTCATATGCTTTGGCAAAATCGAGGTACAATGCATCCACTGGCTCCCTTTCGTCCAGCAGGCGAGTCCAATCGTTCAACGTAGATAATAAGTTAGTGGTGCAGGATCTGTCGGCAATAAAACCATGTTGACAATCGGATATGAGATGTTGTGCAGTCAAGTGATCGATAATCCTATCCCTCACAACAGATTCCATTAGCTTGCAAACAACACTTGTCAGACTGACAGGGCGATAGTTGCCGGGGCTGCTTTTGTCACATTTTTTGAACAATGGTGTTACTTGAGCTTCTTTCCAGTCTCACGGCAAAGTTCCGTCGTTCAAGGTTTTTTGAAAGAATACTGTCATTGGGCCGGCCAGAACGGTTGCTAATTCTTTGAGCAATCTGGGATGGAAGCCGTCTGGTCCACATGACTTGTTGGGATTTAGAGCTACCAGACGCTTGAGAACCTTTTCTTCGTGTATTTCAAACATGTTAACTTCGAGCCGACTGGGCGCTCCTCAATATCTGGAATACTGTTCAAGTCCTCATCTGTGAACACACTGATGAAGAACTGATTAAGAACGTTAGCCTTGCCCTCATCAGAGGAAATCTTTCGTTGGTCTACTTTCAAATCAGATATACAGTCCTTTGACTTATACTTCGAACTAGCGTACAAAAAGAAGGCTTTCGGATTATTGTTTGCATTTTTAGCAATATTTTTTTCGAAGTTTTTCACTGCAGTGCGACAAACTTTTTTAGCTTGATTTCGAGCTCTGGCATACAGGTTATAATCAGACTCGCTCCGAGTTCGTATAAACGCTTGTAGGCTTCTTTCTTGGTCTTCAGCTGAGTCTTAACTGCATTGTTCATCCACTGGGACTTTTTGACTCCTCCAAGCGTAATCTTGGGTACATAGGCATCAACTGCAGACATAACCGTGTCTTTGAGAAACGACCATGAATCAGCCACACTCATGTCCTTAATACAGTCCGAAATATTCGCCAAATTCACCGTTTCACGGAGTTTATCATAGTCGCCCTTCGCAAAGTTCAAACGTTCACGCTTCCGAAGCGTCTTTTCTGCACAACACTTAATATTGAAAAACAATGATTGGTGGTGGCTTTTGTCCAACAGAGCCTCGTGGCGAAGCTCATCTATCATTGATTCTTCACTAGTAAACACAAGATCTAGAATATTTGGGGTCTGTTTACCCCTAAAATGGGTTGGCTTGGTGATAATCTGGATTAAAAATGAGTCTCGCAGACTCCAAGAACAAGGATGCTGGGTGATTCCCATCTCTTGGAGAAGATTCATCTGCCCAGTCTGTTTCTGGATGGTTAAAGTCACCAAAGATCAACGTATGCGACCTGCTGAATGGCATTCTCGGTAATAGGCTGTTTAGTACTTTAGTGTTATCAGAGGAGCTGTTAGGTGATCCGTAAATGACCCCTATGAGGAGGCTATCTTTGCTTTTTAGAGTACGTTCGCACCACATGGATTTTCTAGCTGATTGATGCTATGCAGATAATTTAACTTGCTGGGCCCCATAAGAGATTCTAACCCACAGAGCTACACTACTGCACTGCTCTTCATTTAAGTTATGAAAACAATCAAAAACTGGCAGCTGAAATTCAACAGGTACAATTTTCCTCCCGTGATTTTTAGGGAGTGTTTCTGTAATACAAATAATGTCTATACACTCGTTTGCGATCACAGTTAACAGTTCACTTTCTTGTTCAAAACGGAATCCGAGTTCGTGTAAAAACAGTTTAAAACTTTTTGTGCACTTTCACTTTGATGTATGCGGTTACTTCCTACATTATTTACAGGCCTTGATCTACGGACATTATTCCTACTAATTACTTGTCCTCCATCTCCTCTGACTGTCCGTGAGCAGCCGGTGCTGTCTTGGCAGCTTGGAAGTGATTGACCTGATTTTCCTTGCCTTTCCGCCTGATTCTCTCCTACCACTTCTTGCGAAAAACCGCCCTTTCTAAGGGGTGGAATCTTTCTTTACAA